ACTGATGAAGACTGCCAATGTGCTGGGTGTAAATGTAGCAAAGATGAAGCACTCTGTATTGCTCCTTAAATGCTTTTGCAATAAATCTTCAGCAAGAGAAAATCATGGTTCTTTGAGTTCTGTTGTTCAAAGAGACCTTCAGTTGTTACGGGTTATCCGCATCTCCGATCAAGAGAACTGTAACCCACTCTTCTTAATTAGGCGGCAGATGTATAAATGGACAACGAGTGGCGTCAAAAGGCTTTATTTATTACTGGTATGTGCTGCCTTTTTCTGTAGGGAAATCTTTTTTTATTCCGATCTCGAACCAAAACTTATAAAAGAAGGCATCAATCTACACCAGTTCCTCTCAGCTTGGTCAAGATTTTCACTGAATCATAGGCTATACTATATATACTATAGCCATATATATATACTATACTATAGCCAATGTTATGTATAGCTATCAAAATAAATCAGCAACAGCCTATTGGGTAGGGCTTTTCATCCGAATTTTTCTTTCCATTATTTCTACAACTCTTTTAGATATTCTCGCCTAGCTGTACCGTATGTCAAGTTTTGGGACCTAACATGAGATTGGGCAGGAGACACTTGGAAACAGATAGCAAACGCAGTCTCATAATTAATCGTAGGATCAACCAGTATATCATACTTTAATCAGATACAGTACGACAAATAAAGCGATATAATGCAGATCCGTTCCACGAAGGTAAGTACAGCTACGAGTAGCCCTGATTGATTCTACAACGTGCATCCCATGCGATCGTGTAGGCTACAACTTACAAAGGAAGGATAAAACTCGATGTAATTAAACAGTTTGAACTCTGACGAAGTTGATATCAAAAACTTTATTAGCTAAGTAACGTTTCGGCAGTATCGCCTTCCTCTGAGCCTAAAATGGATGAAAACAATTTCCGTCAACCAACTTTTAGTAGACATATAGAAAAAGGCAGGACTTTCGGTCTCGGTGGCTATTCGATATGAGAATTATACCATCGTAGATGTTTTTGAACTCTGATTTCAAATATGCCTTCAAAATTAGCGAAACAACTCAGGGTCCAAAGTTGAGGAAACTCATCTCGAATGGCCACGGCGACTGAGTATCCTTCCCCTCTGAGCGAAAACTTACTAAACGCTGTAATTGCAGTTCAGCTCAAATTCGTGATTCCCATCGTCTTTTGTGTAGAAGTGGACGCCACATCCAACTTTCGTGGCCTTGAAATCCCACATTCTTTTCAACTGTAAAGCAGACTTGTAGGAAAACAATACAGGATGCGAAACGAACAGTCTCTACTTACTGTATGCTTTATTTGGCAACAAAAAGCTGGTAAAAAGTTACGTATCACTTACGTCTTCCTCTTTTATGCCTTTGACTGCTTTCTTCAGCGTTTTCTCCCATTCGAAATCGAAATTCACTCTGAATTAGATTCAACCCATCGAATGGGACCTGGATATAAAAGCAAAGTCAGGAAAAATACCTTGGCGCATCAAAATAGGTGGCCGGTGCTCCTTTTTTCAGAATAAGATTGAAGGCATCACTTCCTTCTTCACAATCGTACTTCTATAAGCAGGCGAACAATTTTTTTCGAAAAGAATATTGGATATTTCAAGTCATCTAGTGTTGTTTACTAAACAAGGCAACTGTTTGTGACAATTTCTAGGTTACTTAAAGAAAACCACAATGAGTTTACCACTTTGATGCAATAAGATCAGTTTGCTTACCACTTCGGGCACCTTGCTTTTCTTAGGACGTCTATCATTTATGGCCTTCACAAGAAAGTCCTTGGCTTCCTGAGGAATATGTTCATCACAGTCGTATTCTAAATAAGGATGGATATGGGCAGACCAAATGACGGTTCAAATGTTGTGAAGAGTTATGGAAGCATACGGAGTTCATAACGTCCTTCGATGGGCAAAGTGCTAAAACACATCTGAAAGCAATAAGTTGAATTTCAGCTAAGTTGCTACCTAGAACTATCACCAATCCTTCTCAGGTTGCTGTTTCCAAAGGCACAGATCCCTATACTTCATACGTTCACGTATGTACTTGCCCTTTCCAGGGCAATGCTCCCTACTCTGCTCTTTATCCCTTGAGCCATCAATCCCCCAACCAGCCATTCATGTGAGAACAAATGAAAATTCACAGAATTCTTCAAAGTTTTTCTTGCGGACTAGTCATTTCCAAAAGTAAGGGAATGGCGACGAAAAGGACATTCAGACGAGAAAACAGTTGCTTCAGACTGCATTTGAAGCAAACGTGCTCCACTGTGAATATCATCGGCATCTACGAGCTCCCTATACACGTCCTCTTTCGAAAAACAGTAAGAGAAAAAGGGACCCAGCCTTTACTCACTCATCCTTCGTCAGACTGCTGGGCAGTGATAAACTTTGGAAATCATTCTAGTCGCAAAGCTTGCCTTCAGAGCTTTTGCTCCCTCTTCTATGCTACTCATAAGTATGTTTGGTGGTAATGTAGAGGAAAACATGAGCTCGTGGGTGTAATCGCGATTGGAGGTTGAAGTTTTTTCTACAACTACTGCCTATTAGAAAGTGAAAAAAAACTTACCAGAGAAACAGCAAGCAGAAGCATCCTTGAAGAGCTAAAAATTTGGAATTGGCCAATACACTTACACTATGGATGCTTTTATAGAAGGCTGTCCAAGTAATTTGAATGAATTCGGCAAATATGATTCCGTATCAATGACGGAAAACAGCTGGGGACACAGGGGTGGGAGGCACCTCGCTGAATCTACATGATTGGGACGATTTATAGTGGATGTCGAATGTAATTTTTTCCCTAGATGTTCTAGCTCATTAAGATCTCTGATACATGCCGTTTGCAGTAGGCGGAAGGCAGTCAAGTCAGATTACATTTCAAAAGTCTACACCACTCATTTCTTTCTATGGAATTTCCCAAGAAATTCAGCACTCAAGTCTAACCACTATACCTACCCTCACTACCACCCTCTTGATTGGGTGGAGCCGCTATCCACCATAGATTTGATCCTCGGACCATACCTACGCAGCGGCCGCGCTTGCTGCTACTCTCACTATACAATAAACATCATCTCCTTCGAAAATCAAGTAATTATTTCTGACATCGGTTGAAAATGTCTTCAAAGCGTTCTCTACTCAGAGTTTCGATTTTAAGGGAAAAGAAGAAAGGCTTCTAGAGTGGGTCGTTGGCTTCTATGCAAATGATTGGTGGAAGGCTTCCTGCAGAGGTGCCGAAGTAATCTTCATAGTGTAACTTTTATAACAACTGCATCAGCCATGTTGAGATGACACTGGTCGACACTAAGGCAAATTGCACAGAGCATCTAGCCACCGATGGCTTTGGATGAGTTTTGCAGCTCTGTTTGTTATGTGACTGCCATCTTTATATTTTTACAGGTGTTTGTTCTCCTGCTTCCCATCATGTCCCGCTGAAGCTTGGTAGCATCTGCGTTTTGCTGACATTGTTGCATTCCGTTTTTGGACATTCAAACAGACCAGTCGTCATTATATGTATTTCCTATAATAGCAATTCAGTAGCTGAACGTAGGCCGAGCTTTGCTTTAGAACGGGTTGAAACAGCTTTCTCTGATCCATCTACAAGTAGCTCTATCTATGCTCCCTATCATCCAGCACATGAAGTTGAAATCCATGGCTGGATTGGGATTCTGTTTTTTTATATGGCCCACCATTTTTGCTGACGAATTTACTCCGGTTGATTAATAAATTCTTCTGAAGAGACTTGTCTGGAAGCCAGGATCGATATCCGCCTAGGCGAACCTAGCTTTCCATTCCTCCGGGGTCGGTTAATTGGTACCAGACTCGTCAGAGATGATAAAATATCAAATTATCAATAAATCACTGACTTGTACATCGGCTAGAATCCGCAAGCCATTGTATGGACAGGTCACATGCTCATTGGATGCTCAACTACGATTCTGAATGGAAGTCGAATGCAAGGCGCATTCCTTGCACGGGGTGGATTAATGTCCAGAGACTTGATCCCCTTATTCTGGTTTTAACTTAATAAAGCAGAATACTTCCAAAACTAAACCATATTTTGGCATATTTTGGATCTCCAATTCCAGTCGAGCATCCCGGCTGAGACACAACACGAAAATCCAATGAAAATCTGGAAAAGGAATTCTCGTGCACACTTCCCCAATTTTTTTCCGTTAGACAACCGATTTTTCCTACATTTTCTCCATTGTTCCTATCCATCGAAATCGCACTCTATTCGATTCGATGTCACTTTTCCAGTTTCCGTCGCTTGATAATCGAGTTCATTTTCGGGACTCTCCGCCGCCTTCACACTCTCGAGGACGCCTAGGTGAGGAGAACAAAAAAGCGAAATTCGATGACCCATTTTCATCCTATAAAGGTCCACCTATCAGCCTTCGCTTGGCGTTCGTTCAAGCTTCTTTCGCCTTTGACAGACCTTATTTCGTGGTTCTGATCCTGAAATGAAGGTCCAAACAGCGACATTCGTCGCTTCTTCGGTCTCAGCCATCACATTAGCAGCATGTTTACTGGCTATGTTTTCCATCTATTCTGATGTTGCTAGCCTTTGGACCGAATTGGAGGAGGAACTTGGCAGTTTCAGGGTGAGTGATTTGTGTGTGGTACTTATTCCATGACCCAGAAATCCATATGATGCGAGCAGCCAGTGATATTCTTTTTTCAGATCACAACGGACGACCTTTGGAAAGACATAATGAGCATTGGAACCACAAGACGAGTTCGTCGCCAATACGAACACTCAGACAAACCTGAGCCCCACAGTGGCGGATCATCTCCTTCAATCCCTTCAGGTAGTCCTCCAGCTACTCCACCAGTGGTAGCTCACAGTCCAGGAATCAGCAATGTCGGTGACAACTGCCAGTGTAATGCTGACAACAAATGTCCTCCAGGACCTCCAGGACCAAAAGGATCCCCTGGAACTCGAGGTCCCGATGGAGTCCCTGGACAAGATGGCAAACCTGGTGTTGATGCCGACGATGTTGCTCCACAGCGCGACATAAAAGGCTGCTTTTATTGCCCAATGGGACCTCCAGGTCCACCAGGGGCACTCGGTCGCCCTGGACCAAGAGGCCTTGCTGGGCCCAAAGGCCACGATGGAAATCCCGGCAGAGATGGAATGCCCGGTAATCCTGGAGAACAAGGTTCACCCGGTCCAATCGGGAAAATTGGTGAACCAGGACCACCAGGAGAGAAAGGCCGCGATGCAGAACACCCAGTCGGTCGTCCAGGAGCAAAAGGTCCTCGAGGAGATCCAGGATTACCTGGTCCACCTGGGCCCAACGGACTTAATGGACCTCCTGGCGAACCAGGACCTGTGGGACCACCAGGGCCAATGGGAAGCATGGGACCACAAGGTCCTGACGGAGAACCGGGAGAGGAAGGTCCAGATGGGCGACCAGGAAAGGACGCTGAATATTGTCCATGTCCCGATCGCGCTGCTGATGCCGCTGTCCAGAATGGATACAGAGGCCTTTGAAATCGTCAGTTTTTTAGAAAACAATAAATCTTTCTCGATTGTGCTATCTGTTTTTCATACAAACTGTTATAACAACACAAATACGACCAGATAGGAGACAAACACGCCGCTACAAAATAAATAAATGAATAAATACAAAGAAGCAATTGCGATTTGTTGTCATGAAGCGTTCGATACTCACGTTGAACCCCTGATGGGGACATACAACGTTCACTCACAACATTTTTTGTCGACGTCAGGTTGAAGTTTCTTATTGGGGGATAAGATCTCCGCTTTCCATCCAGTCACTGGGAATGTTAGCATAGGGAAGCTATCCTACGTGGCCTGGGTAGATTTCCCAATCGACACTCATTCAGGCCAGCCAAGTCATCCGTACCTTCCATACTGACTGATTGATACCAGACTCGTCTGGGAAGATAAAAGCACTGACTTGTGCGTCAAGGCCTTTACAGTTCAGTCTATAGGTCACATACATTCAAAACGCCACTACAATTTTGAATGGAAGTCCGGTCCTAAGCAGGTTTCACAGATGGGATTGATTGAAGCCAAATCTCTTTTCCTTTCATGTCACCCACGGAAAGGCTTTCTCAGTCAATTGGATGTTGGTCAATTACGGGCTCATTCTCCTTATGGAATGTTGTCAGCAATTGATGTTGTTATGAAGGGAAGCCGTTATAAACCATGGATCACTTCGTAAAATGAGGTTGAAGGATTGTGGTAGGGACCTTAATCAATAACGTCTAAAGATGCTACCACTCACTCGACTTCCATTCAGAATCGTAGGGGCTTATCAGGGCGTATGTGGCCTAAACAATGACTTGCGGTGGCCAGCCGATGCACAAGTCAGTGCTTTAATCCTCCCGGGCGAGTCTGGTACCAGCTAACCGACTCCGGGATGGGAAGTAGGGCTGGGTTGGCCCATATCGAATAGGGATTTGAACTCGTGACCATGCCTGTATGATAGTGCGCCGCTAGCCACCACACCACCTACCCCCTTGGAAGAGATTCGTGTGTGAGAAAATCAGGAAGACTTCTATAATTTTTATTTAATAAAAATTACAACCACAACAATGGCTTCGGAACACATCGAATCTGGTATATAACAAATGTCGAAAAAAAACGAAAAAAAAAGTTTTAAATTTAAAATTGAGCTCATAACAGCCTGAGAATGTCTTCAACAACGAATCGAATTGCTGAATATCATTTTCTATCCCGTTGAATTTATGTAGCCTTTAGAATTGCATGGAATGCTTTTTCCAGAATTTTTTTCATTGCGTCTGTATCAATCATACAGGTACGGTAAATATGAATAAGGGATGAATCACGACCGCTCGTTGCCTTGTGAACCAAGTCCTCGATGAATTTCAGGGCTTCCTCCTCGCTGTCACCTGTAAATTGTCCAGTTAATCCCAAGCATCAGAAAGAATAATTTTAAAAAGTTCAGGTGATTCCGAGTTGACCGTTTGAGTGGAGGAACTAGAATGTTTCATTACTTTTTACACGGGGTATTAAGCTTTGAGGCATATAGCCTAAGTATGAGTAACTAATAGCAAAAATTAAAATCAGAGATGTTTGCTGGTCTGGTGGTAAGACAGGAGCCTAAAGTACCACAGAGAATTGAAAAAAGGGGAATCATTTTAGCTTAGGTGAGTCCCAGGAGCCTGTCTAGTTGACTAACAGCCAATTATGGCAACAAAAACAAGAGAGGAGGCTCCAAACAGCTCTTGCCTCTTGGTTTCACCTCAAACACAACGATATCGCCTGGTTCAGTAGTGATTAGCACCATTTTTCGTTTTCGCAGTCTTTTCTACGCATTCTCTAACAAGCTCAGTTCAGTTGTTGCCTGTACTCAGAAGTTCACTCGCCATTCCCGAGCTGAGCAACAAGCTTGACAAAAGGAACCTTGCCGTCCCTGTTTTTAAACAGATAATACCTCATATCCTCACATACCCCTCCCCCCTTTCGGAACCTTACCCATCGATCTCGTTTCTAACATCTGCCTTTATTCTCAGAGTTCTATTGACCACTAAATTTACCTATAGGTTTCTATGGGGAATGAGGAGGAAATGAACGAAATCCGCAGGGAGGGGCGGAATCCTACCGCTCTTCCCCAAGCTTTTATTCCAGGAACGTAAAAGATAATCACAAATAGTAAATAATCAGATTGGGAGAAAGCATTAAGAAAAGAACTCAGTCAACGGGTGTGTGAAGACCGTCTCCTGTATAGGAAAGTGTTGATGAGATTCTATGAAGCAGTGACGTAACAAAGTAGTAATATTGGCCACTTAAAAAAAGCATGAGCGAGATTCGCCAACGAGTTGCGATCAGTTGACGTGCACGGAACGACATGGCTCTTTTTTTATGATCAAAAATAAAAATTCAATTAGCATAAATGAGACAGAGGTAGTTTTGTGAGAAAGTCTATTACACTTATATTTGATATATTCAAAAAAATGAGTCTCCTCTGGAGGTAAAGCTGTTTTATGAAGGTTAATCGACTCCGGATGACTGAATAATCAGTGAAAACAGAATTTTAAAGTTGCCTTCGCAAAAGGTCACCCTACCATAGATGCTTGTATTGTATAGCACCGTATCATACAGTACTTGTGGTAGTCAGGTACTGTATGATACGGTGCTACACCATACAAGCGTCCATAATAGTAAAAGGATGATACCCTGGGTAATCGATCCGTCTGAGGGGTGCGCCCATGCATTTGCTTCCATTCAGGATCGTAGTGGCGAATTGAATGCGTATGGGACCTATATAATGACTTGCGCTGGCGATGACTCCCAGACCAGTCTGGTCTGGTACCAACCAACAAACCTTGGCGGGATGCAAGGCTCGCTTGTGCTAGGCCGATATCAATCCGGGAATTGAACCCGTGTCCATGCGTGTGGGAAATGCGCCACTTGCCACTATACCACTTCGGCAGTGGATACAATAATTCTTTAACCAAAAGAAGTAATAAAAAGAATCTCATGGGAATATGCAAAATGAAGCTGCGTCTCATTTGTGAAGTCAAGGTTTCGAAGAAATCGCTCACTGGATGAGCTTCAGCTGATAACATCTGAGGTTATACTCATTCCCTCTGAAAAAAAAACCGCTTGGCGACTAAAATGACACTGGTACTGAAAGGTAAAGGCTGCTGCTGCTCATAGAGGTTAACCTGAGAGCTCTGTACTGAACTCCCTTACGCTATATAACCTCATCCTTACTTCCCACAGCCACTAGAGGGTGCTACCTTCAGAACCGGGGCTGAATGGGTTCGAATGGGCTTATTGCTCTGGGCCCTGTCTAATGAGGCCATCACTTTTCGAAGTTCTTGTTATTTCTCAGCATCATATGAAACTTTTTATTGGATTATACAAGTCTTGAAGTAATTATGTAAATCGACATGAAGTCCTGACTAATTTCATTCGAGTATTTATCAAAGACATGAGCTCCCCAGTCATGAACTGAGGAAAATAAAACGCAGTTACTCATGGGTACCATCAAACGAACCTTTGTAATCGGGCCAATGATCTCCAAGTGGTAATAAAGGCAGTTTTTCTTGGAATACGTCCATTTCATTGAGAAACAGCAATAGAGGAGTATGTTGAAATTTCGGCTCATTGCTAATTTTTTCCAACAACGCCAGCGCATCTTGTAGTCGGTTCTGAAGCCAATATAATGTATAACTCCTGTAAGTTATGTAGGAGGAAAACAAACAGAGAAGGAAAGGGTAGCCAAGTGCACGCTCTTACCATCTCCGGGTCATCGTCCATTTTCTGATCATACTCGGAAATTGCTATACAGAAAAAGATTGCACTAATACCATCGTACATCGTAGCCCATTTCCGTCGATCGATTCGTTGCCCACCAATATCGAATAATCTCAAATAAATAGCCGTTAACATAGTTACTTAACTGAACTTTTTTCCAAATAATGATAGCGGAGAGAATTTAAATGGGTGACAATTCAAATTATCAGTGAATATGGTCCTAAAATATAAAATGACACAGATTGTCAGACTATCTCCCCTTGAACTCGTTTTTTGGCCTCGTGCACGGGTCCGGAATCTTCTCCCCGAAGACGGCGTCGCGCAGGTCGTACCCGCCGCGTATCGCAGGATTGCAATGGAAGATTGGAGCGCGCAATTTGTGAGGTAAGGAGTCCTTTAATTATTTGAATTGGCTAGCCGCTCTCTCCAATTCCGATACGGTCTTGATCGTCGCTAATATACGAGGAGTCATTCTAATTAAACAAGTCT